TTTTTTTTTCTACAAATTTTATTCAACAAAACAATAAAAGTATTTAACAAAAACATGTTCAAATAATTATTCCGGAACTTGGCCACCATCTAAGTCAAGCAGTGCTTCCCATTTGCTAGTCAGTCGGACTCCACAGACAAAAGAGTTTCGATTCTTGGAGGCGATCCACGCCTTGACATGGGCCATCAAGCCATCCATTTCGTTAAAAGTTCTATTCGTTAGCCAATTTTTCAACGGACGAAGACGTGATAATCCATAGGAGTTTTTGTTGGTGAGTAGAGCGATCTTCAGATTCCATTCTTTATTCGGCACCGGCTGATTGTTCCGTCCAAGAGAAGTTCGCTGTGATGATTTCATGACTGCGCCATCTCCCAACCTTTCTCGAAGTAATAGGGCACAATGTGGCGTATATGAAGATGACTTTCTGAACATATTTCTGTTAAGGGAAGTAAGAAGATCATTACTACAAAAATCCCGAATTCTGAAGATCAATTTTAACGGGAGAAAAGAAGCCGCGAAAAAATCCGCAATAATGATGCATCAACCTTTTACTATCTTAATTGGTGAACACCGGAATTCCTCTGAATTGCTCAGGAAGTATTGAAGCTTTACAGAAGCCTTTTAAAATGATCCTTTATCACTAGGGCAAGGTTGTTAATGGATACCCGGCCTAAAAACCTTCTATACAAAGACAACCTTATTTAGATATTCTTTTTCGTAGTGTTCAGGACTATATTGTTTAGGAGTTTAGTGGTTGCGGCGAATCGCTGTTCAAAAAGTATTGGCACGAGGATCTTAATTTCGAGACTAGACTATTATTGATGTTAAGGACTAGGTTACTGAAGCAAAATGAATTGGAAACGGACTACAATATGTCGGCGTCAAGACATTGGAGAATCACAAGTAGAACAGAAAATCCCTCAATTTGGAAAAATACGCGCAAATTTCTTACGAAAAAAAAATAATATCAAATAAGCTGCATTGCATGAATAATGTTCTTGAGGCACAGTTCATGATAGAAACGGTTTCTGAGATTACCCTCCATGAAGAATTTGGGGTTCTCAAGGGTAGCAGGAGACGCATTGTCAGGTCGAAAAGCGACCTTGGCAAGACTTCCTTATGAGGATTTGAAAGCGGCTTGATCGATGTGCACAAGCAAAAGTGGCAGTGTTATGTCGGCCTCGTTAAGGCTGCACCATTGACAATAAAGTGTTAGGATGTCGACGGATAGTACGCTTTCGTGGGAGACACCTAGACGGTTACAGTCAGACATAATCTCGTACAGACCCCTTTCGTACTCCTTTTTTTTCCCTGCTTCTACTTCTCGTGGAATCTCTGATAACTCTTCTTATTTGTGGCTTGTTTCTAATAAATCGTCCGAAACGGGAGAAAATTCGCACAGAAAAGGTAATCTAGATTTTAAAGAAAAGTTTTCGATTCTCTGCATGTAAGACACCCTCTTAGTAACCCGAAACTAGGGTTTTCTAGTAATTTGGGTGCACATGTGTGTGATGTTAAGAGGTAGGCTGTACTAAGGTGCTACTGAAAGACAAAAAAAAAATTTTGATGAAAATGTAGCGCAGGGGGTAGTGGAGGAGGACCTGGTGCTTACCAATTAGAGACAAAAATTCTTAGATTTCGTTTTGTATTTCCTGAATTTCTCGGGAACTATACTTTTACTTGGTTGTTTTCGTTTGCTTTCTCATCTGCCTAAGTAAGGAGGGAGCACCGGAGTCCGTGAGTCAATTAAATGTTCAATTTTTACTCCATCCCAGATTTCTGCACGAGGTAATCACCTCACCAACCGGGGATCCCTCCCTCCTGAAACCGGGTCAAAATTACATCTCTTCGACTAGGAACTAGACCTTAACGTAAGCGTAATGGAAGAGTAATACACTCTCTTTTTTCACCAGCTCGCGTCCATCTTGAAAAAAAAGGAGTCCTCTGCTCTCTCCCCAACCACATCCTCACCTGCTTGTATGTCCTGTATAACGACTTGTGGGGATTTGTTCTTCGATTCATAAAATTGCCCTAGCTACAAGTTATTGGAGACACATCTCAACGTTTACAGCTATCACCGTGCTTTGGGGCTTCTTTATTTTCACAAGAGCTTGTACACACCGTACTAATCGAATGCACTGGAAATACCGCATTATTCTTTTTCTTCATCGTTGCTAGAGTTGTACTCTGCTTTAGGATTGGAAACTAAATGCATGGCGCATCCGGGAGACCTCAGCCAGTGACAAAACATAAATGGCTAACCCTTCCATAATTATTATTATCCTGAACCTGGCTAGATCAATTCGATCAGAACTGAGGTATCTCCTTGTAGAATGGGCGTCCTCTTGGAATGGATGTTCAAGGGCACGGTTCATTGGCTGAGATAAAAATGGCTCATGAGATATATCGCTAGGACAAATGTGTGGCCCCCAGGTACACCATAGGTGGAGCCTTCAGGTCGGGAAATGGTCTAGATAGGGCACTATATAGGCTCGAAGATTGTCCCATTTGCAAGCTTCGACGAGTTCCAATGGCATTGTTGAAGCTGCACAATTCGCAAGGGAGCACATGGCATATGTAGGAATTTCAAACAACTTGTCCTTACCCATAGCGACAATGAAAGGCAACTCTGGACAGTTTTGACTTGATGTAGTCAGCTCTTTGCGCAATTGCAGCAGTTATTAAAATCTCGTCCAAACACCCCTTCTATGTCATTTCTGTCATGGTAATCTCGTACAACCTCTATTTTCTTTTTTAAGAGCCATATTTTTCGCAGAACCGGTGAGTTTTTCGCTTCCTCCACCACTGATGCACTATTCCTAACCAATACTTCTCTTTTCGACTTAAAAATGGTATCCCAAAATTATCGTGAACTGTGCCTTTAACGCATGGCGCATCCAGAGAGGTTGATCCGTGTCATGCTTGAATGGCTGAATGATGGCTTCTCCTTGATATCGTTTGCCTTACACCATTTCGATTTGATCAGGCCTGGTAGTTTCAATTCCGCCTTTTGGGCTGTCCGCTACTCCACTTGGTGATGATAAGCCTTGAGCGTCATCTGCTCCCCGTACAATGTCTGACAGTAGTGATAATGATCGGTAAGCCTAATTTACGAGCTACTTTCTAGGCATTAAAAAGTTTATTGTACATGTAAATGGAGTTTTCCATTTTACCTTTTTCTTGTTTTAAGAAAAAAAAATTACTCGCTATCTCGTAGAACTGTTACTTGCAATTTCCAAAACAGCTTTCAATATCGCTTGTTTCTATTTTAACTATTTGGAACTCGAATTCCAATGACAAATCTACACACATGTCGGTTTCAAGCTCTCCTATATCTTTGGCATATTTAGGTCTCAAACATTAACTCACTTTTTTTTTGCTTATCACCGTAAACTTTCCAAAAATGGGTAAGATGGAATGTAAGCGCTTTCTGTAACATCTTGTTGAACCCTAAAATTTTATAATACTTTTCCACTTCTGGAGAACCTTCTAAAGTGGAAAAACTATAAAACCTCAAGGTAATTTGGCAGCCTTTTCTACTGAATAGGTTATCGAGGGGGACCATTGGCTCCGAAAGCTTTTTGAACGACTGCAATCTTCAAGGAGTACTAGTGGTGGCTCTCAAGCCATTATGTGTTGAGTTACCCATAACTTAGCTAGTCAGTGGGCTAGTAGAGTTAACTTCAGAAGTGAAATCATTTGATCGCAGGCGAAAATTTTGCTAAATCCTTGACAAGTATGGCCTGTCCGCCTGCATACAGTGTCCGCTGTTACAAACATGCTGGGTTTGTCGCTCGATAGTATTGTATTGCGAAGGACTAAGAGCCATTGTATGTAGCATATTTACTCGTTGTTTATTGTTTACTACATTATAAACATGTACAGTTGCCAAATAGCAACAGAAACAAAACCAAAAAGTCAACACAAAAAATCGATTTACAATTGAAATTGAAATCCGTAAGAGCTTAACTTGGAAATCCGTGCAAAACGGAAGTTGTAGAATAGAAACCAAAGCCACAGAAAGCCTCTACTAAAAAGACAATCAGAGGAGGCCCAATATCCATTGTCATAATAGATATTCATTGTTTACTGGATCGTTTTTGAAGACAACATAACTATTCTCTTCTATCATTCAAATTGCAAGCTTTACCGTAATCTGTTTGAAAAAGTGAATATTTCTGTCGTAAACAAGATTTCCTGGTGATTATGTAGCATTAAAGCTGGCTGATGCTGGTCACTTGTCCTAATAGAGAGTAGTCCCCATCCCGGTTCATTCGAGGCTCTCTACCTTTACCGTCTATCGTACTGGTGGGAGACGCCAGAGCTGAGGTACACCTAGTCTAAGATATCCAATAATTGTTGATCAAAATCGCTCAACAACAGAGGACAGTGTTTTCAGGAAAAGTAAATAGTGTGTGGATAGAACCTTCCGTATAAGTTTATCTGTACCTATCAGTTCAAAATTGTGAATGGTATTTAAAATTCTTTTACTTTATGTTAATTTGCTGTCTTTTGCTTCTAAAAAACACTTTTTTTCAGGACGATTTATGCACTAAAAAAGAAGCATAAAAAGAAAGAAGTTGTTTTCTATACGACGTTCGAAGAAGTATTGCAGGTGGGTATTTTTTCTGGAAAACCTAACTACCTTTTAGTCTAATTCCAATAATTTATTAGAATCAGAGTTCTTCATTCAGAAAATCAATCCGTTTGGTCCGTATCAGATTTTCACTGTAATCGTCATTTTGTACGCTTCTATAGAATGGGCAGGTTAGTTTGAAGACATTTCCTTAAGGTGCCATGATTTTTTAAAATTTCACAATGACCACTCATATGGGCAACCCAAGACGAACTTAGGTGAATTGGCATATGTAACAGCTCCTTAATGGAAAAATGAAATGATAAAGTCTCTGCCGAATAAATATCGCTTTGGAATGCGCCCTTGCACTTGATTTTCATTTGCTGATAAAGGCGTTTAAATAGGTGTTGGGCCTGCAGTCAACTTGTAGGTATACTGCTGAAAAGACCTTGATTTAGGTGAATTCAAGTATTTCCAGAAAGAGCGAGATAGTGTAGTGTAAAGTAGCACTCTGTCCCACACGAATCGTCCGGGGATTTGATCCCAGTTCTNAGCACAGAGGTATACTGCTGAATAGACCTTTATTTAGGTGAACTCAAGTATTTTCAGAAAGAGGGAGATAGTGTAGTGTAAAGTAGCACTCTGTCCCACACGAATCGTCCGGGGATTTGATCCCAGTTCTTTCCCCTGGGTGAACTGAGAATTCTATCCCGTCTGCGTCTCTCGATTGGTAAAAGGTCCCTTTGGGAGTGCGAAAGCCCTGACACGTACATCGGCTATGGTATGCAAGTTACTGTACGGGATTGATCAGTGCCCAAAAATTTCATACTCTCAATCCAAATAGGAACTGCTCCTAGTCAGGGCCCATATCGATTAAGAGGCGATAACGTTTATGGTCGTATACTATGCAACGTGGAGAGATCGGTGATAAGACACCTTTTTGACGCAAAACGGAAATCGTTGAGGAGGAAACCGGAGCTATAATAAACCTTTATTGAAAAAGACGATAGCAAGAAGGCTTACCAAGCAAGCAGCTGGGAACTTTCCACCGTGGGTCGTGAATTGTGTTGCTTTGTACAAATCATGAGCTCTTCTCGGAAGCTCGCATCAAATCAACCCTCATTGTTGGAGATGTGCCAAACCCTGATCATTGATGAGGATAAGAATGACCTCATCATAGTACACAATGACAATCCCCAAAATATATTACAAAGGAACTTCTGCAGAAAAATGATTTATGTATGTAAAAAGTTAGAGTTAATTTTTAGGAAACAGCACCTTTATGGACGTGCTAGGTTCACTGGAACCCAACTGGAACTGTACACTGAAAAATGGGAGTTATTATACGGGTAAATCTATTTGTGAGGAAGCCTTCTAAAAAGGTATCCTGTACGGTCATTTTTAGTGGTCGCGCCTACAGACGATAACAGCTGTGCCTTTCTGAAGAGGAACTGCTCATCGTACACGGCCGAGGTTTGTTGAGTGAAAATCGACTTCAATCCCATCGAAACGAAGCAGTGGGGACTCCACCCAAGAAGCGCCACACACTTTACTTCCATCTGTGATTTGAAACAGCATTTCGACCCTGAGTGATCTTTACAACAACTTGTGGGGAGCACTTAGCATTAAAGGTTGTTCCTCCCAGACGATAAGCATCTTGAATGGCCGACTCCGATAAGGCATCAAATAGGTCTGGATGGAAACAGACCCAAAATCTGACAATATGCTGAAGTACAACTGAGTAGGTTGACAATCAGTTCCACCTGGAACAGAACCTTTCTGAATTTATCTGTATTGAAGATTTGGGAGAGGTCTCAGTTTAAGGAGACTTTTTGACCAGTACCTAATCCTACACGCTTTCAGAAAGATTCAGTGGAATTCGTCTCATTGGTGGCAGATTTCAAACTGGTTTGTGACGATGCAGACAAAGTCAAATGGATCCAAGTGATCCAGGCTGGTGGATCGGTGAGCGTTCTTACCTATTATGGGCATTAAGAGAGGATTTATGAGGGATAGGGTTCAAAAGATCTTTTAAGAACACCCTCCGAGTCTTTATGGACTGCTGTTTTAGGCATATGTTCTAAATATATCACTTGCTTACATCGTCTAGCCTTCCAGTCGGTGATATCTATGCTTCCAGCTACTGGGCTCGATTATCGGTGGACACATGGGAGACCATCTTGGTCGTCAAACGATATTTTTCACCGGACAATTGCTAATCATTATCACATCGATGATGTCAACTGCATCACAGAATTGGATCGCTTACGCCAGCATTCAAGGAGTCAACTGTTTTCTTTATGGAGTAATTGAGGTAGGCAATCAATGCTATGGGGAGACGGGCAGTAGGAACGGTTTTCTGTAATCAATTCGCCGCACGCGGCTGTCGCGGACCAATTGCCTCGTTATAGCAGTTCTAGCGTTCTTCATGCAGCTCAATCGCTATGCAATTATTACTTATGGCATGATTCTACTGTTAGTTCCTTCGTTTCTATATTCCTAACTGCTTCTGTGTTCTGCTATGTTCCTTCGCGCGCAGCGTTCTCTCGCCGCGCCGCGACAATTTCGTTCCTACGGCACCACACCCAATGCTATGCACAACCGTGACAGCCTTACTCAATGTCAATTGAACTACCTCAAAGGACTGAACTCTTTTAAATCATGCCCATTTTTTTCCTAATTTTTAATCAACATCAGTCCAAATTTTATAAGCGCAGGTCAGCTGGAACGAATCGGTAGCAGGGCGTAATCTAACATCACCGAGCATCTCAATTTCACTTGGTCCTGACAAGATCGTATCTACGGTAGTACTGCTTACAGAACAGCGAGAAAACCCGAAACAAGTAATGGCGCGCTCCTCATGAAATGAGAAAAAGCTCTATTCAGACGATTGGACAAGTTCCAAAAGTAGCAATAGGCAAAATGCGGTTAAGGGGTCTGTCGCACTGGCTTCTCCCATACCGAGACTTCCCATACCGAATCTTTCATGGGATAAACAAAAGATAAGTCCTTGGCTACCTCGCCATATAATGATATATTACCCATATATGCCTATTTTGAACTTCTGCACATTAAAATTATACAGATTATCTTCAGGTGACATCTCTGACCATGATGATGGAATACACCAACAACAAGTAAGTTTTTGAATCTATGACCAAAAACTACTTTAGAAGGAATTTCGTTTTCCAGATATCGGGTCATCATGGCGTCTGCATTCCAGTGGCCATTCGCCTACATGACGATAGCACTAATCGCTTTCCTCACAAAGGTCTGGTTCCATAGTTGAATCCGATTTGCCATTTCCATATCCTCCACCGGATAAGTTGTTTCTGTGGCATTCCAAATGCTCGAACTGTAACATTACTTCCTAACACTCATACATCCTGCGAAATCCACTGCCAAAACTGCTGACTTCAACTGATATCCTCGGCCTTTTCTCATCAATAGATCACTGGCCATCTACGTCGAAATATCCTTTTCATAGAATGGCCCATTATTCTCAAATTCGCCTTGCAACTGACCAGATTATTCTTGACTAGTTTGCAGTAAAAAAGAGTAAATGAAAATTTTTAGGGATGGCAGAACTTCTTCGTATTCCTTAATTTGGTCTCATCACCACTTACAATTGGATTCATGCTGTTTTTAGAATCCCCACGTTGGTTGATTGCTACCAACAAATTGGATAAAGCTTGCGATGTAGGTGCTGTTACCGTAGCTGAGCAAAGATTCCGTTGACCTGAAAGCCGGCTGTATTTCAGGTTCTGAACGACTTTGCTCATCGACGTTGGAATAATACAAAGGCGCATTTCACAACTTCAGATATATCGTCTATTCACAAGCATGAGAAAAAACGATTCTACACATTCTACCACCTTTTCAGGTAATGTCGCTTTCATTCAGGAGCAAAAAAAAACTATGAATTTATGGTCGGGGGCCCTGTGGTCATGGTTCGTGCCTTTTTGGTGGTTTGATTGGTTACCTTGGATAGTTGCCCCGTCGGCGAGATAACTATCCAAAGCAGCCTTAAAACAATGCGTGAAGAAAATGCTATTAGAAAATGCTATGCTACAATGCTATAGATCACATCAATCTAAATAAACGAAAATAGAAAAAATCAAAAAAATCAAAAAGGAACAATGCTATCTGGCAGGTTGTCCTACTGATTCCTAGTTGAAAAGGAACTTTCGCTCAGTATGGATAGATGCCAGTATTTCAGCACACCTCGTCTTGCAAAGCAGTCCCTAATGCAGATTCT